GGATTTCCAGCTGCCCCTTCACCTCCCTGTGCAACCAGCTCTGAGCCTCGCTTTCCCATCTGAGGTGGGGGTTTGGTGGGGCCCCCCGAGAGCTGCTTTCACTCCAATGTCTTCAGGATTTGGCCTGCAAAAGGGGGGAAGAGTAAGAGCCGCGGCCCTGGCTGCTGAGGCCACTTCCCCCGGGCCCCTCCCCTGGGCACCAGCTGCCCAGCAGGTCTGCTGTTGCTGGCACACGACCTGGACCCTGAGAGTAAGCTCGGCTCCGGAGCACAGGGTGGGTCCAGACAGACCCGGGTGACTGAAGCCCATTTGAGGCCCCTCAAGCAGGAGTGCCATCTGGGACACCTCCCTCCTCCTGCCTACCTCAGAGGCATGACGCAGGTGCCCGCTGGAGTCATGGAGGCCCTGGCAGCCCCTGCTCTCTCTGCTGCCTGGCTGAGCCCCGAGGGAGGAGGCGAGCCGTGACCCCAGCGGCACCTGGGTCTTGCTTCTGGTCACAGTGGGGACAGCCGGGGGGACTCCAGGCCCTGCTCCTGGGCGTCCTGAGTGTGGGTGAGGTGCACTCACATGCCCTTCCCCTGGCTGGGGCCCTCCAGGACGGGGAGAGTGTCCCAGGTACAGACGGAACAGGGCGCTCCTGCCTGAGGGTCTCCCCACAACCGCGGACATGGCTTCCCCAGCTGAGGTCCAGGTCACAGAGATGACCTAGAAAGACGCAGGATTGTAACACATTGACTCCCAGGCCCATCTGGCCCGACCTTGTCCCAGGCCAACGTCCCCTTCAGCCAAGACGCCTGCTGGTTCCTCGTGGGCAGACGTCAGGCGGATATTAATGCGACTGACCCAAGCGCAGGCAGGCCCAGGGGCCCCACTGTCCTGGCCCAGAGCCCGCCCTGGCTGGGCGCCCTCCCTGCCCTCTGACCCTCTCCTCCCTGTAAGCACGGTCGCCACTCACAGTGGGATCTGTTTGACCTGTAAAGGTGGGCTGCACCCCTCAGCCTGTTTCCCCGAACACCAGCACATCCTAGTTTCCTTATTTGCTCTTCTTACACTTTTTTCCTCCCCCACGAAAGAACTTGCTGGTCTCATTTTAATTTTCATTTGTCCTTTTTGTGCATTTTAGTTCATTTGTCTCACTTGTGCTTTAGCGGTCAGTGCCCAGTGCCAGGCCTGGTGCAGGTGCGCTGGGCGAGCACCTGTCTGTCCGGCTGCGGGAGGTTGGAGGGAGACAGTGCGTCCCGGCGATCAGTGCGGCTCGGGGCGGGTGCTTCAGGGGATCCTCCTCTGCTCCACACCTTTTAGCCAGGGGCCATTTGGATCCATTTCTCTCTATCTGATTCTGGAGAAGAACTCATCATCATAACTCATCTACCAAAAATGCACATTTCATGAATAATCACATTGACTTCATCGTATCTGCTGTGACTCTGTCAGCCTTTGTCCCTGGGGTATCACCACCTCGACTCAGCGGCCAGTGTGAGACGCACCGGGTGTCTCTCTGGCCTCTGAGGGCGGCAATCCCGTCTTTACTCACTGCCCCTCCCCGCCAACCCCCACCCACTCAATCCATCTCCTGGCCTAGTTACATTCAGCGAATAAATATTTGTTGAAGGAGTGCTTCTAGTAAAACCTTCTCCTGGCCTGAAAAAATTTTAAAAATGAACATAGTTTCCAGCCAAGATGGAATAACAGAACCAAATTACTCTCCCACCTGAGGCAACTTTTAAAAAACCAAAATACCAAACAAAATATATCAAACAATGGTTCTAAAGGGCTTGGACATCAGTAAAAAAAAAAATACATCCTGGAGGCGTGAGACAAGGGAAGCGAGCCCTCTGCCTGCAGGAAGGGGAGCCTGGGAGGAGTCCCCAGGACTCACAAAGCAGAGGAAATAAAGCTGGGGGCCCAGGGAGGTTGGCACAGTCCTGTGCATGGGGCGAGAGCCACATAAGGAACTCCAGAAATGGCAGAGGGGCTTGTGTGTCTTCACTGAATCAGCACAGGTATGTGAGGAAGCTACCAGAGTCCTGGGATCAAAACCACCCAGAGCGTTACAGGCAACAGTCCTGGGAACACATGCAAGACAGGCACAGCGCCTGTTCCCATCAGCCAGAGCGTAAGACCCTGTAAGTCACAGGGCAGCCCTTGGCATGCCCAGAAGAGCGTCGTCTCCGCAGGGAGGACAACTAACCCTGGATCAGATGCTGCTCTGTTCTCACTGGGAAAAGCTCAGTGAAAGGATCAAATATTCCTGGGTGTCTGGACTAGGTCCCAGAAATAAGCTCAAGAATATTTACAGGATTATATATAACCCTGAGTATCCAATAAAGTAAGATTCATGATAATTAGTATCTCACCAAAAGTTACCAAGTATGCAGAAAGCAAGAAAATATAATCTACATTGGGGAGAAAAGTCAATCAATTGCAAGGGACCCAGAAATGGCACAGATAATAGAATCAGTAGATAAAGACATTGAGCAGTTGTTGTGACTCTATTCCATGTATCCAAGAAGTTTCAGGAAAGACGAAACATATTAAGGAGAGACATGGAAGGTGTAAAAAAGAGCCAAATCAAACTTCTAGACATGAAAACTTCAATGTCTAAGATGAGATCTAAGGTGGGTGGAATTCATGGCAGAATAGACATGAAGAATAGACGCTGAGTGAAACTGAAAGCATAGCCATAGAAACTTCACAAAACAGAACACAAAGAAATGAAAAGACTGGAAAAAATAAATAAAACATGAATGGATTATGAAACCACTTAAAGCATCCTGATATACATTTAACTGAAGCCCCTACAGGAAAGAAGAGAGAAAGGGTTCAGAAAAGTATCTGAAGAAATACAACACAAACATTTTCTAAATTTGATGAAAACTGTCATCCAAGAATTTCAATGAATTCCAAGCACAAGAAACCCCCAAGCACAACTACACCGAGACATAAAATATTGAATTGCTTGAAGCCATTGGAGGTGAAATAATGAATTTTTTCAGACAAGCAACCCCTGAAAAAAATGCATCACCAATAGAGGTGTTACTGGGGGTCTTTCAAGCAAAAGGTAAATGAGACCATATGGAAATCTACTTAAAGCAAAGCAAAAAAAAAAAACAATTATGTGGTTTATACCATCCATAGAAGTAAATGTATGACAGCGATAGCACAAACGCGAGAGAAGAACAAAGGGAAGGACGCCGATACAGGCTTCTTACGCTATAGGTGAAGTGGCGCAGTGCTTAAAGGTAACCTTTGATAAGACTTGAATTAAATGAGAAGTACAAATATGCATACGATAAACCCCAAATCAACCAATAAAATACTACATCAAGGGGTTGTAGCTAATCAACCGACAAAGGTGTTAAATTTTTATTTTAAAAAATCACACTTGATTTTTTTTTAAAAGCTTAAAAAGAGGACAAAGAGGACAAAGAACATGGCATAAATAGAAAAAAACAGCAAGAAGGTAGATTGCAACCCAGTCTTATCAATAATCACATTAAATGTTAAATGGTCTAAACACCCCAATTAAAAGGCAGGGATTGACAGATGGGGTAAACAAGCAAGACCCAACTATATTCATCTTGTTTTAAATATAAGCACAAAAATAGGTTAAAGTAAATAGGTAATATATACCATGCTAACACAAATCAAAAGAAAGCTGCTTTAATGATATTAAGACAGAAAATTTTGGAGCAAAGATGTTACCAGGGATAAATAAGGTCTTTTCATAATGATAATAGAGTCAATTCATAAGGGGGGCATCCTCCCTTACGAGGGTGGATTGAGTGGGTGGGGGAGGGGGCAGTGACTAAAGACAGGATTACTGCCCTCAGAGGCAAGAGAGACATTAGGTGAGCCTCACAGTTGACTACTTAGTTTAAGGAGGTGATACCCCAAATCCTCAACATGTATGCTCCTCCTAACAGCTTCAGAAGCCCTCAAAGCAAAAGCCGATAGAACTGCGAGGGATCTGATGGCTGGAGGATCATGCCAAAGGCTCCCCAAAGCCGGGCAGTCCAGCTGTCCTGAAGGGGCTCTGGGCTGTGCCTCTGTGTCCACCACTAAGCTCTGGGGTCCTTTGAGACCTCCTTGCTGGGGTCAAAAGGGCCTCCGGCCATTGTCCTGGGACTGGGCCGGGACATGACGTGGGCTGGGGGCAGGTGGAGAGAAGTAAGGCTGGACTTCCGCACTCCATGTTTCATAGTGTGGGTGCTGCAGGCCTTCCCGCTGATACTCCGCTCCCTGGTGACGTGGTCTGCTCAGAGTCTCAGGAAAGTCCCATCAGACACTAATGGTTTTGTAACGCTGAGGTTTCCCCAGGGGGTGTCCCGGGGTTTGAGCAGATGGGCACAGCTCTTGCATCGCCAAGCACAAGACCCTTTGTAATCATGACTCCACAGCTGCCCCATCAGGCAGTGGAGGCTGTCTCCCTGCCCCTCGCATCTGGGCTGAACTCGAGGTCTTCTTGGACCAGTAGAGGTGGTGGAGAAGAGGCTGCAGGTCTCCTTCTCAAGCCCCTGCCCAGACACCCCAAACAAGCCCCGATAAAGAGGAGAGGGAGGCCCAGCTAACAGTCGGTCGCAACTGCCAGGCACGGGAGGGAGGCCACCTGGCACCGTCTTGCACCGCCAGCTGCCCAGCTCTGTGAATGACCTATGCAGGGCCAGCAGAGGCCAGCCCAAACTGTCGGCCCACAGAATCATGAGCACATGAAATGCTGGTTGTTTCAAACAGGATGCGAAAAGCGCCTCTTCCAGGAAGCTTCCCCTGATTCAGCCCCTCCACACACAGGGAGAGTCTGTCTCTCCTTTCTCTAAGCTCCTCTGCTTTCTAATAGAACCACGCTGTTTACTAGCTAATTGCCTCTCATCTGTGTTGGCTTTGTTACTGTTTAATGGGCATATCTCTACTCCCCGATTGTAAGTAACCCAGGATTGGTGCCTTATCCAGAGCAGGAACTCGGTAGCCGCTGTTAGCTCCAGCCTTTCTCTGAGTTGTGTGGAGACCCCGGCACTGAAGGTTGGACCTGCCTTGTTACAGGAATTCAGAGGTGGCCGGCCTGGGCAGTGACATGTAGTGACCAATGCTTTTTTATGTGAGGTTGGTGTGGAGGGACTGTGTGGTGGGATGGAGGTGGTGTCCTTGTGTTTGTGTCTAGCCTCCTGGGTGTGAGGGGCCCCGGTCCCTATTCTCCCAGCTGTCAGTGTGGATTATTCCAGGTCTTTGCTTCTAAGATGGCATTTTGACTTCTTAATCAGGTTAGGCCTGAACAGCTGCAGTGAATACAACCCTTGCTGGCAGACGGATTGCAACATGTTAGGAAAGAGCTGACAGAATAAAGCTCCCTGGAGAAAAGGTGAGACGACCTTGGACAGGGGCCCACAGGGATCCCCTCCTCCTGGTGCAATGGCAGTGGAGCAGTGTGAGCCCCTCAGCTTTTACCCCTGCTGGAGACGGCAGATGAAAAGCCCCTTGTTCTGAATGTATACGGAGCTGCGGCAGGACGGAGGTGAGTAGGTGGTGGGACAAGGCGCATGGCGGCTGGCCGCGGGGAGGGCCTGTGGTGTGCCTGGCCTGCGTTTCCCCCAACCACTGCCTGCGGGAGTTCAGAGCAGCCGGGCAGCATAAACCTTGCCCTTCGTCGCAAGTCTCCCTTAGCTGCTGCCCCGGCCTCCCCACCAGCTGTCCCCACCCTCCTCCCGGACAAAGCCCAGAATATTGCCTGTCAGGACTGACTGGTGACGGAGCTCCCGCTGGCCTCTCAGGGTCCAGGCCCACCGCATGCAGAGGAAACCTGCCTCTTTGGATTTTCCGTGACCTGGTTGCAACCTCGGGTTTGGGCTGTGTGGAGTCATGAGCTGGCTGAGCTGGGGCCCAGCCCATGCCCCGCTGGGAGGGGTCGCGCCCACACCCAGCCTGCCGTGGAACTGGTGGCCCCTGTCTCCCCAGCAGGAGAAGCTGCACCCCTGGGGCCGGAGCCTCCCCTGCGGACCACCTGGGGCCAGGCAGGTCCTGCCATCTGCCCATAGAGGGAAGTAAAGGGGCTGCCCCCTCTCCTGGAGCTTGGGTGCGGGTGTGCATGGAGGCCAGGGATGGCGAGTGAATCCCTCCTGCCCTTCCTCCCCTGAGTCGCAGCCTGCAGTGTGGGCCAGGGGCATCCCCTGGCTGCAGCTGCTGTTTTAGGACCACCCACAGGGTGTGTCTCCAGACCGGGGTGGGAGGGCAGACGTTGGGCAGAATTAGGAGAACAAACCACTGTTTCCTCTCAGTTCAAGCAATGTTTTCATTGGGAAAAACAGGCTGGTTATTGAGACAGGAGAAACCTTTTCTGCCACATTGGAGAAACGGGAATCTCCCATGTGGAGGGAGACCCTGCCGCGGTGAGGGACAGCGGACGGAGGCGTCCCCGGGCCCTGGCCTCAGGGGGCACTGCCCCACCTCTGCCGACCTCACGGGGAGGCTGCCCGGACCCGCCCCACAGGGCTGGGGTATGACCGAGCTGGAGCCTGGCCAGAGTCCCCTTCAGGGTTCTGTAGCTTCTCCAGCAGACAGGGGCCTTTTCTGACCTTGCCCCAGTTCCGGGGCAGCTGCATGGCTGATGGCCCCACACTGACCACTGAGAGGAGGTGGGGAGACAGGGCATGGGGCCCCCTAGCGTGCAGTGACAGGCTGCCGTCCTCATTTAAATCTGTACAGAAGGGTTTACAGATGTCAGCATGATTTAATTTTAGTACTTAATGGTTAATTAAATGGATTTATTAAACATCACAGCATATTTTTGTGTCTGGAATAGAAACAACCCTGAATGCCATGAAGGATCTGGCCAGTGGAGTTCCGTGGTGGCCAGCCGGATGTCCTCCGTGGCTTGGGAGTCACGTCTGACCAGCAGCCAATGACTTACTTCAGGCTTCTGGCAGCAGGGCACCAGTCTCAGCGGGCAGCACACTCGGCTTGCTGCACGGGCCCCACTCGGCTTCCCCACAACACCTGCCAACCCCACCCAGCTCTGTCCAGGCAGCTCACGTGGCACGGGCTGTGGGTGTCACCCCGGGCCTGCCATGACTTTGGACCTGGTCTTGAATTGCTGCCCAGCGGTCTCCAGGTGAGAGTTCCAGTTCCCATCTCCCCAGTCTCACCCCAGCAACCCTGAGCTGGGCACCCAGAAAGTCAGACTGACAGAGCCGTTGGTGAGGACCACCCCCTGGGGCCTCTGGGGGCAGCTTCCCATAGGGGATGGGGTGGGGGGCAGACTCCAGAGGGTCTGACAAGTGAGCACCCTGTCCTTCGGGGATTCCTGGGAAAGCACCACACAGATTCCCCGTCAGGCCCCACAGCCAGGCTGTACTCTCAGTGACTGGTTTTACCAAGTGCCTGCTGGTTATTGAGACAGGAGATGCCCCCATTTCACGGAGCAGGAGGCTGAGCCACAGGGTCACCTGCCCGAGGACACGCCGTCTGTAGGGGCAGGACCCTCCCCACCACCTCACTAAGGACCTCCTGCGCAACTCAGAAAGGGCCCTGGCCTCCCGGGACCCCAGAGCCCACGCAGCTCCTCACTGTGAGATCAGCGTTGCTCCCAGCACCTCCGCCGGGCCCCAGGTGGAGGGATGAGCATTAGGGGGACCCAGGTCCATCCTGGTGCCCCCAGGAGGAATGTGGGGCCTTCCCTTGGCACTGACTCCAGGGTGTGGGGCCCCTGAGACCCATGGCCTGGGTGTTAAAGCCGAGGCAAAGTGCATCTTAAAAGGTACAAATTAAGCTTCCTCTCTAGCAAGACATGTCCAAAAAGGTTTGGTTTAACCTTTTGCCATTTTATCCAAAGCATTTAAACCCCAACCCTGGGGACCAGCCCCTGGAGAACTCGAATCCATGGCTCTGGGTGTGGGCCAGGTACCTCTAGAGTTTATTTCCATTGTCTCCTGAAACTTTTTATTATGAACACCATGAAAAACACCCAAACCTACACAGGAGAGATTATGAATTCCTCATGTACCTGTCGAACAAGAAGCAAAAGTGAAACAGTGCAGAGCGTGTCTCTGGGGTCTAAGTCGGGACTTGGGGAGCCCTACGCCGGGGTGGTGAGCTGGACCATGCTCTGTTGAAGGGGGCTCTGTCAGCAAGCTGCGGGAGTGCGGGGCAACGCACACAAGCTGTCTGCCAAAAATCATGACTGGGAGATCCAGTTACACCTCACCACCCGTCAGCTTTCCCGTCACGCCAGGGGGACTTACATTTTGCTGAGTGTCCCCTTTTTATCAGAACGGGACATAGCAGGGCTGAGTTCTTATGCTTCCAGTACAGCAGGTCATCGCAGCCCTGGGTCAAACACAGGGTGAAGCGCTAGTCCCCCAGTCAGCCTTCTGTGCTCAGAGGTTTTGCACAGGCTCACACGCCTACCGCCCAGGGTCAGCCACTCACCCACCCTTATCTCTGCCTGGCAAACCCTTGTTTCTACAGGAAGTTGGGCTCTTGGTCATTTGTCAGTCAGGAGGGCAGGAGAGCTGGCTGTGGGGTGGGTGGCTGGGGGCGAGAGTGTGGCTTTGAAGCAGAGGGCCCCTGGCTGGGTCACAGCTTCCATGCCGTATGACCCTGAGCAGGTTCTTGGCCTCTCTGGACCTCAGTCCTCTCATGGGCAAATCGCGATAAGAAACCCACCCTCCCAGGCCTGCCACGCCGCTGAGCAAGGCACCGTATCCCAACCGTGTTCTGCTCAACAGCGCCACAAGCCAAGTGCTCAAAAACCAGTGGCGTTTTTAGGAGAGAACAGAGGTGGGGTGCCTTAACAAGGGCCATCGATGCCACGGAGGATCTGCCTAGAGGCCTTCGGGAAAGCGGGGCTGTCTGGGGCCCACACAGGCTGCCGGTGCGAGGAGCAGCCACCCCAGGGAAGGGTTGTCCAGGTTCCACCGTGAGGTCCCCACGTCCCACCGTTGTTCTTTCAGCCTCATTTCAGAAACACACGCATCACGAGTACTCAACAAATCGCAGCTTCCCCAACCTCCCAGACCTCTGTTTGCTCAGCTCCTTCGCCCAAATCTTCCCTGGCAACGTCACCAAGGACGTGGACCAGCACTCCTGGGACTCCAGCTGTTGCTTTCAGGGGAGCCTTGGGGGCCCCACCAGTGCCTGGGCTACAGGGCCAGGGACACAGCTCAGCAGGGGCGGGCCCCAGGGCACTCGGCTGGCGATGCATTCGGTGGCGGGGACGGTGGTGGACAGTGCTCTGAGCCAGGGGAATGCAAGTCAGAGTCTGAAGCACCTCCCTATATGAAGGTGACGTTGCTGGCCCTTTACTGTGAACCACGCGCGGGGTGGGGGACCGAAAGGGGGGGCAGTGCTCCTGTCACTTCAGGGACCATCCCCAGATCCCCATGAGCTGGTCAGGCCTTCACCCCAGCCTTCCAGGGGCAGGGGCACAGCTACAGTGGCTCCGAGAGGCGGGACTTACCAAGGCCACCTGCCCAGGGGACTGCTGAGGCTGGGCTGGAGGCTGGTGAGGCGTCGCCAGGCTCAGCTCTTACGCACGGCCCGTCAAGGGCTTTATGGGGAAAGGCACCCATCAAGGTGTCCTAGCCGGCTGGGAACCAGGTGGGCCAGCTTCGCAGCACAGGTGGGTCTGGGTGGGGCGGGGGGCTGCAGGACGCAGCACTGGCAGGTGTGATGTGGCAGGCGTCTGGAAGAGCTGCCCACCCCTCCTTCCCCCCTTTCCTCTTTTCTTCCCCCCTTCTTACAACAAGTACTTACCGAGTGTGGAGCACTGGAGGAGAATGAAGACAAAGTCTCGGGACCCTAATCTCAGTCCTTAGCATCACCCTGCGAATTAATTGGCTTGTACACTCGCTGATTTTGCTCCCCGAGTCCCCTGGGTCCAGGCACTGTGCCAAGGGAACAGCATCCCTGCCCTCATGGGGCTGCCACTGGGTGCACGGGGCCAACAGTGAGGACACAGACATCAATAAGCACAAATCCAGCTAAGGTCATGCTCAGTGTCAGAGCCAGAACTGGGCTGAATCAGCTGAGCAGGAAGTCTACGCTGGACAAAACACGAGGACTCAGACCCAAGAGGTCGGACGGCAACCCCTGCTGCTTGGAACCGGCCCTGGAGGATGGGCAGGCGCCTGGCCTGGCCACCACCAGCGACGCGGCCCCCGGCTCACAAGGGGGGATATGGCGAGGAACCCAGCGCTGCTGTCAGCACGGAATGAAAGCTACGGCCGCATCGGGTGCATCACCATGGCCGACAGGGCGAACCCACCTTCTTCACGCAGTCAGGTGTCCTGAGCTGCCACCCATGTGACTTGCTCAGGGCTGGGAGGGTGTGAGCCCGCTGGGAGGGTGGCCACGCCCGAGGACCATTCTTCCCACGGGGTGGGGCCCGCCTCCTTCCTCTGCACCTGGGAGGGGTCCCCACAGGCCACTCAGGGGTCCTCACCCACCTTCTCTCAGGACTTTCTTCAGTGACGCTGGAGAGAAAAAAGCTGGAGCTGCTCATGTTTGCAAAATCCATCTCGAGCGTATCAGAGGGTGCTAATTACAGTGACTCACGCCGCGGCAGACCGAGCCAAATCAATCCTTTTCAGCAAATTAAAGCCCTTTCCTTTTCCAGCAGCCTGAGCTTTGGGACACGGGGGGTGCTGCCTAGCCCCTGCAGGGCTTGGGGGACTTGGCCAGGGCTGGGCTGCCTCCTGGCAGATCGTGAGCATGTCCCACGCCTGGGTTCAGAGGGTCTCCTGGTGGCTTTGTCCTGGGACCTGGGACCGACCCTTGGCATTTAACCCTTCACATTCTCAGTTTTGTCCATTCCTAAATGACCCCAAAATATTTGTCAAATCCCTGCTATGGGCCAGGTGAGAGAGAAGACGGACACTAGGCTGGGCTGGGCAGGGTGGGCAGGTAGGAATGGCGGGAGAGGAGAGGCCAGAACAAGTGAACCCGTAAGAAGGGACTCTCCCACGGAGTCCAGAGCCAAGAGACAACAGAAAACACATGAAAAGACAAGCTGGGGGCCTGTGACTTAGGTACTGGGGCCCCTGACAAGGTGGGGAGGTGCTGACGTGGGGAGCAGGCAGGTCGGACAGAGGACAAGGATCTGGAGGCAGGGGACAGATTTGGAGCCGCAATGATGTGGGCCGTGGAGACGCTGACTTGGTGTCTGACTGGGCCACCAGGCAGGTGGCGTTATCAGGAGGTGGAGATGCTCAAGAATGGGCTGTGGCCCTGTAGACAGCTGTGCATGGCCCCTGGGCACTGACATGGGTGGGGATGCTCAGGCCGCATCGGGCAGGTGGGTGGACAGCTGGGAGGAGCTCAGGGAGGTCAGGGCTGCCGTGGTCGCCCACGGTGGCGTCTGGAAGCCTCGGGGCTGCATGTGGCCTCTGAGGCCGGTGCATGAGGGAGAGAAGGGGGCGGCACCTCCAGGCAGGGGTGGCAGGAGGGAGGCAGGAGCACCTCCAGGCGAGGGGGACCAGAACCACGCTCCAGGAAGCGGGGCGTTCCTGAGGCTGCAGCAGAGCCTGGACCGCACAGGGCGGCCCTGGGCGGCTAGTGGAGGTCGTGTGGGTGCTGGGGAGGGAGAGACCTGCCTGCAGCCTCTGCTGGATCCGAACAGCGTGCCCGAGGCGGAGGCAATCCCCAGAGCCCTGGGAGCCTCCCGGACCCCAGGCTCCCTGTGCGCTGTGTGTGCCACCCTGGGCTGGTGCCTGTAGGCCGTGGGGCTCGACTTCCAGGGGCTCAGAGGAGGAGCCGTGAGGTGCAGAACCGGGAGGGACAGTCCTCCTGCAAGAGATCAGAGGGCTTTCTGGAGGAGGCGGTGTGAGTGGAGGCCAATGGTCTGTGGGCGTTTTCTAGGTCAAGGCCCATGGGGGTCCCTGTGGGGGTTTCTGATGCCTCCCTGTCACAGCAGGTGTAGTGGGTGGAGCGGTGCCCTCCACAGGGTGTGTCCGGGTTGAGGGTCCAGAGCTGAGACCATCCTGGACCAGGCCGGGACAGGAGGAAAGGCCACGTGGCTGCATGAGGCGGGGCAGAGCCGGGAAGCCGCCCAAGCTGGGCGTCCTGCACCACCAGGAGCGGGGAGAGGTGGGAGGGATCCCCCGCCCCAGGGCCTCTGGAGGGAGCTCAGACTCCTGGCTCCACAGCTGGGAGAGAATGCATCCAGGAGTTGTGCTCCCAGCCTGTAGTCCCTTGTTAGGACAACCCCAGGACACTAACAAGAGAGCTGATTATACGCTCCCCAGGGCTCAGGAAACCAGTGCTGGAGGCAGAAGGGGAGCTTCTGGATTTTTCTAGAATCTCTGCAAGCTCCTGAAGAGAGGACGGGCTTGGTTTCTCCCTGTGTCCACCACCCTGTCTGGCCCATGTGGCTCGAGCACAGGCGCAGCTGAACGGCCAGCAGAATGTGGGGCTCAGCAGCCCCGTGTGCGAGGAGGGCCTGGGCGGCCGGTGGAGGGCAGGGAGACACCCTGGCAGAGGTCGGGCCAGGCAGCAGGAAGGGGCGCCTCCTCTCCCCCAGAGACGGGACCCCAGAGGTGCTCACTGGGTGCGAAGCAGGGCCGGATGGCACACCATCCACGCAGAGTACTTGCTTTCCAATATTGGTAACGTTATAACTAAGGAAATAATTTCCCCAGAGAAGCTCCCTGTCGAGCAGTGTACTAAATAATTTGTTATTTTGAGACGTCTGCAAGATGTATTTGATTAAAAAACCATTGACTATAGTTTTTAATCCACACACACCCGCAGAAAATTCTTGAAGCCTCCAACTTATTAAAGTGGAGAAAAGGAGCTCACAGCACGCCTGAGATGACATCCCGTCCCCTCCCCATATTCAATTACCCACACGTCCCCAACAGCTCAGAAGGCGGGTGCGGGACAGACCTGAGATTAATTTTTCATGGGGTGTCGGATGGCAAATGATTTTCCTATTTACTTATGTAACTTGTGCATAAAAGATGACAGCATTTAATCAAATACAGACCAACTACAAATTATGCCAGATAAACAGTGTGACAAAATCCAATATGTTGCTATTGACTCTTTATATGCACATACATATATATTATTGATACATGTTTGTGGAGCCTTCTGACTCCTGTTAACCCTTTGTGAAGAGTTTTACATTTTCAAGATGCTTGTGGTTTAGAAAATGTTCATGCCATTCCGATTGCATCGAGGGCATCATGCCCACCAACTTCAGCGCCACCGAGTTTCCGGAAGGCCGTAACTGCCAAAAGAAAAGGCTCATTTTCATCTCTGCCTCTTTGGCCTCTGCCACAAGTTCTCGGTTTTGCCCCCCAAGGGACACTTGGCAGTGTCTGGAGATGCTTTTCGCTGTCACAGCTTCTTCCAGCACCCAGTGGGTGGAGGCAGGGGTGCGGCCAAACACTTGTCTTGTCCACACATGTCAGCAGGGCTGAGCTGGAGAAACCTCACCTGAATGCAGTGCCTCCTGCTGGCCCACGCGTGCCTGCGCCAGAGGCATGGACGCACCGCATGAGGCTTTGCATCCCACCGCTGCACAAGGTTGCTGCCCCTGCCCTCTGCAGGGCCCCTGCCTCCCCTTCCTTAGCAAACACCCTCTTCCCCTTCAAGACACAGCCCCAAGATCAGTTTTGGGGCACCCCGCCCTACACCAGAGCTCGGGACTCGCTCGCGGGGCTCCCAGCGCACCATCAGATGAGCCTGGAGGGCGCTTATCCCAGGACACCTGCTAGTTGGGCTGGTGTTGGGCTGGAGCTGCTCCCCCAGCGATGCATGAAACCCACTAGAGACATCAACTCCATCCTGGTGTTTTCTGTTCCCCCAGCAGCTGTACAAGGCCCAGAGCCTAGTGGGTTTGGGACAAATATTTGCTTGTTGGCTGGGTGGGTAGGTGGATGGTGGATGGAGGGAGGGGGGAAAGGAGGATGTATCGGTGGCTGGGTGAGTGAACGGGTGGCTAGTGGGTGGGCCAGGAGACCCGGCTGCAGTCCTCTGTCTGCACCAGCTGCTCTTTGACCCCCGGAAGGCCAGTGGATGGGCGGGGATGGCTTCCCCTTTTCGTGGTGGGTCCAGAGGGCAGGGCTCTGTGCACAGCACTGGGTGGCTCCTGAGAGCCCTGCAGAGGGGCCTGGGGTGACCTCGGGGAGGAGGCAGGGTGCCTGAGAGGAGGGTTGCCAGAGAAAACACGGGGCTCCTCATTAAATTTGACTTCTTTTATCAGATAAATAACTTGAATTTTTAGTGTAAGTTTATCTTGAATTTTTTATGGGACATGATTATATAAAAAAAAAATGATTCCTTGTTCATCTGAAATTCAAATTTAACTGGACACCCTCAATTTTTATTTGCTAAATCAGGTGACCCTACCTGACGGTGTCCGGGTTCTCCTTCCTGCGCTGTACAAGTGTACGAGGTTCCCATGCAATTTGCGAATCTCTGGCAGGAAAGATCCTTAGCCGCTAGTGGCAGCCCCCCAGGGTCTGGTGAAGCTGGACAGCAGAGCCGCTGCTACTGAATGTGACCCTCAGGCCCCAGACGGCACAGGACAGGTGCTGGCGGGGTGTGCCCATGTCCCCATGTCCCCGGGCCCCCACAGCAGTGCCTTCCCACCCCCAGCCCAATTTGAGGCCTTTCTCTGTCAGGCCAGATCGCCAGCCATCCCTCAGATAGTTCTAAGTTTTCTGTGGACAGAAGAGGGACTTTGGGTCTTTTGAGGACAATTCCAGGCCCCCTTCCTGCG